CCACGCAAAACCACACCCCCTCTAGTCCACGGAAAAACCTCTCTCGGGAACCAGTCCTTAGCCCCCCCAATATTTGGGGGCCACTGCCTTTGTTTGTTTGTTTGTTTGTTTGTTTGTTTGTTTGTTTGTTTGTTTGTCAAACATGTACAAGATAGCAGGTATAAATATGAACAAGGACATGAATGAAGGAAATGAATACAAATATACAGTAGGATAGGGATGGAAGGACAGGGACGGTAGCAGTGGTGGGTTCCTCCTGGTTCAGCCTGGTTCGGCCGAACCGGTAGCGGTGACGATGTGATGTCACCAAACCGGTTCTCTTTGTCCGGGAGCTGGGCCCTCACGTGCACGAAGAGAACCGGTAGTAAAGCCGGTTGGAACCCACCACTGGATGGTAGGCACGCTGGTGCGCTTATGCACGCCCCCTTTACGGACCTCTTAGGAATGGGATGAGATCCACGGTAGATGGTTGAAGGTTGAAGCTGTGAGTGTTTGAGGCTGTAACAATGGAGTCAGGTAGAGCATTCCAGGCGTTGACCACTCTGCTGCTGAAGTCGTATTTTCTGCAATCAAGTTTGGAGCGGTTTACCTTGAGTTTGTACCAATTGTGTGCCCGTGTATTATTGCGGTTGAAGCTGAAGAAGTCGTTGACGGGTAAGACGTTGTAGCAGACAATTTTGTGCACTATGCTTAGCTTGGACCCCAGGTGGTGCAGTTCCAGATTGTCCAAGGCCAAAATTTTCACCCAGGCTAGAATTAAGTCCTGTCCATGCTAAGGGTTTCATGAACTCCCCTCCCTCCTCAATCCTCCTAATTCTAACACCAATTCCCTTCTTCAGCAGCATGAGATCTATTTCTCCATCGTCTTCAGCCTCTGGTTAGATAAAGGCTATTATTTTCCCAAACAGTGGGAAGGTGGATGTACAAGGGGAGGAGAACCAACAAAGAGAATTTTGCTGCTTGGCGCCAACTCTAGCCTGCTGGTGGGGTTGTGTTACAGTCGGCACTTCGGCAGGAGTTTGTTTTCTTTCCCAAAGCAGCCAGCAGCGTGGGGGTTGTCGTGCGGCAGGGGTGAACACAGACGCTCGCCTGTCCCTCCTTTGTTCCTGCATCTCAGTGCCGGGGGTGGGGTGGGGATGGAGGATGGGAGGCGGTTCTAAGTGGGCAACTCCCCCCACCCTCTTTCTTTCCCCTTTGGGTCCTGCAGCCAGTGAGAAGAATTGCCAACGCAGTCTCAGGAAAACACAAACGGCCACGCGGAGCATAACTTGGCGTTGTGTAGAGAGGGATGCCAAGATTGCTACCGAATCTGTCTGGCCGAGGCTGCGCGTGCCCTAATTGTTTTCATTTCCCACCCACCCCCAGCTGATTCCAAGTGGAATTCATACCAGAGTGGAATTCCTCTTTTGGGTTGAAAAGATACAACGAGCCGCAGAGGGCAGAGGGAGCGAGTGTCCGTGCTTGAATAAAAGGCCCACATTTTTGTTTTCCATTTTACAAGGAATATTAATGCTTGGGTCGGGCCCGAGTTGGCCAGGTTGCTTTTCTGCCATGATTGGGCAGGGGAAATGTCACTCCCATGGTGACAATGCAGAGGTCCCTCCTCCAAATTTATATTCCAAAAGAGGAGTCGTCTTGCATTGCCCTGCGTCGATTGGCAGCTCCACCGCCTTCCACCGCACACTCCCCTCCCTTCCTCCAGCTTCTCCTGTCGCTGATACAAAGGGACATCAGCTGCCTTTGCCTTTTCCTGCACACACCATTTAACCACAACGGGAAGGGTGGAGAGAGCCGTATTCTCCAGCCTGGCCCCGAATAGAGTGAGACTCTGGAAATTCCCGAACAAGATTGAACTGGGAATCCTGAACCTGGAAATTCTAAGACCTTCACAAAGAGGTTGGGAAGACACAAAATTGTGTGTCTTTTGCCTAATGACATTGACACACTCACATGATGCCGCCTTGTCTTCTACATTGCACAATATGGCAGGGCCGTGGTCCTTTCTAATGTCAGGAGCAGACATAATTTAAAGGAAGCAGATGCTTCATCCTTCAGGGTTGTTAAAATTGGTACCCCCCGCCCAAATGAACCAGAGCAAAAAGGGCTCCTGATGGATGTTTACTTAAATGTTAATCCCAGTGAGATTGGTGTAGTTGCCCCACCACCCCAAACTCTGCCGTTTGCAACACTCTTTCCCCCAAGATCTGGCATGACCCTGTTCTCCTGCTTCCAAAAAGCTTTAAATGCCTCGTTTTTCCTACAAATCATGCGTTAGTATAAGGCTGGAAGCTCTGCAGTTTGCAGAGTTCTCGGTGCTCTCTCAACTTGTTTTCTTGCAAATGCTTCATTATCCGACTAGGTAACACCTTCGTCTTTATAAACAAAGAGCAAAACCTATCGCCTTCTAGCACTGATGATGCTAGCTAGTTGGGTAATGAAATGCCTGCAAGGAAACAGCCATACACTCGGAGGGCTCCGAGGACTTCACTGTTCAACCCCCGAGCTACAAATATTCATTTCTTGTGGATGCTGTACAATTTGTTGGGTATATGGAGATGTGTTGTGGTTTGGAAACCAGGAAGGGTTTATTTGCTTATTTGTTTTTAGTTCATTTGTTGGGGGGGATGTTGGGGGTTTTTTTTATGCTTTTTATGGTCTTTATTGTTTTGTGCTTATGAGCCACTCTGCCCCTACCCAATGTCAACTTGCAAAGCTTTCGGAAACTTCACACACAAATCTTTTAAATAAATAAACAGTGAGCCAATTTAGAAAGCGTGGACCTGCTTATTAAAAACATTATTTTTTAAAGGAAACCTTCTTAAGTGAATCTGCCAAGTGGAAAAAAGGAGGAGCTTGCCACTGTAAAAATGGAATAAAAATTTCCAATTTTGCAAAAGGCATTTTAGTTGCATTTTTGGCCTCTGGGCTGTGGTGTTGTTGTTTTTTTTCTTGTCTTCCCACTTACTTTTTGAGTGTAGTGGTGGGTGCAGTAACTGCTGCCGTTGTGTTGTCAAGCAATCATATCATATTATTGTTATGTCATACTAGCGAGCAAATGGCTGTTTGCTGTTTGTAAGGAAACACCTTTAAAAAAACCCCACAGAGCCATGGAAAATTTCCTCTCCGTTTTTAAACCCTTAGATGCTTAAGCAATTATTTTCATCTTTGGGGGTGGCTCAACAACATGCCGCAAACATGTTGCTAGTCCTTAATCAACTTCCTAGCAATTTTATATTTATTTTAGCTTTTTTCCACAAGAGTTTAGAAAGGCCTGCCGATCCCTGTCCCCTGAGCTTCAACCTAATAGGGTGTATGACAGGGGTGGGTTCTAATTTTTTTTACTACCGGTTCTGTGGGCGTGGCTTATTTTGTGGGTGTGGTTTGATGGTCATGTGACAATTCTTTAGGATTTAGCAGAGATACTGGTCTACCAGGCTTTTAACTGCTTGCAGAGCTGTACCGGTCTACTCATTTGTTTTTGGAGGCATTGGTCTACCCCAGTGCCTCCAAGGAGTGGGGAGGGAATGGGGATTTTGCAGTATCCTTCCCCCAGGAGTGGGGAGGGAATGGGGATTTTGCAGTATCCTTCCCCCAGGAGTGGGGAGGGAATGGAGATTTTGCAGTATCCTTCTCCCAGGAGTGGGGTGGGAATGGAGATTTTATCCTTCCCCTGTTACGCCCACCAAGCCACACCATGCCCATCAAGCCACGCCCACAGAACCGGTAGTAAAAAAAAATTGAATTTCACCACTGGTGTCAAGTGAGAGCCTTGTGATATTGTGATGGCTCAGCTGTGAGTCATCAGTGAGTCTTGTAACTCTTACATCACTGTAGCTCTTGCATCACATATTCTCGGAATTGTGGGGATAAAATCACGGGAAGACCCCCATAGGAACTGTCCAGAGTTGTCAGGTTGGAGAAATGGACAAGTATGAATATGGGATACCTTGTTTTGGGATTATTTTTTAGAAGGAAAGAATGGAATGGAATGGAAGCTTATAAATAAAAATAGACCTCTTTTCTTTTAATTTATCCTACAGGAAGTCTTTTTTTTATATAGAAGATTTGGGCATTTTTTTCTCTTGAAGGCTTCTAGGCGCAATTCATACTTCTGGTTACTACCTATAAAAGTTTATACTGTATTAGTGTTTTTCAAACTTACCAACTTTAAGACGTGTAAGACTTCCAGTGCTGGCTAGGAAGTTATGGGAGTTGAAGTCTACCTATCTTAAAGTTGCAAGTTTGAAAAGCCCTGGACTATACAGTGTAGAGGACGGTGCCTTGAGGAACCCTGTATCCAAGCAGAATCTGTTCATCCTGGTAAGACATCAAGAGAAGACACGACATTGCAAAGTAGACCAACTCACAAAACAGCCATGGCAGGGATTCTAAGCACTGTTTTAAGGGTAGAATAATAGACTCTTACTTATTTATTCCGTTTTTAATCTTTGCCGCTGACCAAGAAAGAAAGGCTGGATTAAAAATGGAATAAATAAGTAAGAGTCTATTATTCTACCCTTAAAACAGTGCTTGGAATCCCTGCCGTGGCTGTTTTGTGACTCGGTCTACTTTGCAACATGGTGTAGTAGTTAGAATGCAATATTGCAGGCTAACTCTGCTGACTGCCAGTAGTTTGGCAGTTCAATTCAAGGTTGATTCAGCCTTCCATCCTTCCAAAGTTGGTGAAATGAGGACCCAGATTGTTGTGGGGCAAGATGCTGACTCTGTAAACTGCTTAGAGAGAGCTGTACAGCACTACGAAGCGATATATAAGTCTAAGGGCTATTGCTATTCATAACCTGATGTGCCCACTTCCTGTTTTCTCACAACTACCTTCTCACAACTACACGCAACCGGCTCTCAGTCTTAGGGTCTGCTACACTGAACCTGCATTTGAATAGCTCTTCCCATTGTCCATTGCTCTGTCTATGCTGTTTGAGTAGTGTGATTCCTTTTATTGGACATTTATTGATGGATCGTTCTTTCTCTTTGACTAACAGATTGATGAACTCCCTGAGGGAGCTGTGAAACCTCCAGCAAATAAATATCCCATCTTCTTTTTTGGGACTCATGAAACGTAAGTGAGAAAATTCTGCAGTAGACCTTTTAAGAGGCTCTGGTGTTTAAGCATCTCCTTATTTATTTATTCGATTTATTTGCCGCCCATCTCATTTCAAAGCATAGTAGGATGTGCGAAACATTTTGAATATAAAGTAGTCCTCAATTTATAACTGGCTGCTTACAGACCGTTCGAAGTTAAAAAGAACCTCCTCAGGGATACTTGCCACCAAGTTCCAAAGTTCCGACAGCTCTGACTCGTAATTATGACCATTTGCTGCATTCTGCAATTACGTGACTGCTTCATTGATGTTTTGCTGAAAACCGGCATTTATAAGCCAATGGTTAGAGTGCAGTACTGCAGGCTACTTCTGCTGACTGCCGGCTACCGGCAATTTGGCAGATCGAATCTCACCAGGCTCAAAGGTTGACTCAGCCTTCCATCCTTCCGAGGTGGGTAAAATGAGGACCCAGATTGTTGGGGGCAAGAGGCTGACTCTGTAAACCGCGCGGGGGATTATGGGAGCAAGAGGGCGCTCCCATGTGATGCCTTTCCTGCGTGAGCTGCATTGGCTTCCAGTGGTCTTCCGGATGCGCTTCAAGGTGTTGGTCACCACCTTTAAAGCGTTCCATGGCATCGGACCTGGGTATTTGCGAGACCGCCTTCTGCCACCGATAGCCTCCCACCGACCAGTACGCTCCCACAGAGAGGGACTCCTCAGGGTGCCGTCAGCCAGGCAATGTTGGCTGGTGACCCCCAGGGGGAGGGCCTTCTCTGTGGCAGCACCTGCCCTCTGGAACGATTTGCCCCCGGAGATACGGAGGATATCAGATCTCCGGGCCTTTCGCTGTGCCCTAAAAACTTTTCTTTTCCATCAAGCAGGGCTGGCATGAACCCCCCCCCCTTTTTTTTTTTTTTTCTCTTTTTAGCTTTTTAGCTTTTTAAGTGTAAATTGGGTTTTAAATTGGATTGTTTTAAACTGTGGGCCAAAGCTGTATAATTCTTTTAATTGATTTTAAATTTTGTATAGGTATGTTTTTTATCCTTGGCTGTGCACCGCCCTGAATCCAATAGGAGAAGGGCGGTATATAAATTGAAATAATAATAATAATAATAATAATAATAATAATAATAATAATAATAAGAAAGGGCTGTAAAGCACTGTAAAGCAGTATATAGGTCTAAGTGCTATTTGTTTCTGGTTTTCAGCAAAACTCACCCATGGCAAACAATTGGATAATTGGTTTTGCTTAACTATCATGGCATTTCCTTAACAACCACTGCAGAAATGGTTATAAAATCAGGTCACATGGGTAACCCTCTTTACGACTGTCATAATTTATGACCATAATGGACGGGCTCCTTTACAGTCATAAGCCAAGAAGTACTTGTACGTTTTGCACATCCTGAAAAGGGGCTCTTCTTCTGGTATTATTGGAAATGTTCTCGGGTTATCCGTCTCAGAAGCCATCCAAAGGGTCTAACAGAGCTCAGAATTCTTCCAGTCTTGTTGGAAAACCATCAGAGTTGCTTGGAACACAAATCAGCTTGAAAGATTTCACCACGTTCAAAAATAATTTGCAGCTCTGCACGCTTACGAAAGTTCCTTTTCTTTTCTTTTGCTGTGATCTCAGACTGGATCGCAGCTGCATCGAGAGTTTCCTGCTTTTTTCCTGTTTTCTAAGTGTTGGGAGGAAGGGTTATGATTATTAGCTGCCTAATTGCCCCCTTGAATAATCTTTTCCCTAATTGTGATCGGGGCACTTCTCTTCCCAAAAGGGAGAGGTTTTGATGCCCTGTTTCCTGCAACTGCAGTATTTTTCGCTTTGCATTATTTTATGGCAACGTATGAAAAAGCAAAATAATAATAATAATAAAAAAAAAAATGCAAGGAAACCCGTAATTACAGCCTTTCGGTTCTGCCTTCCCCATTTGAACAGACAGAGAGCAATTAAGAGGGTATGCATTCATTCAACGGGTCAGACCTTCAGATCCAGGAAATTCAATTCATTCGGGGGGTGCGGGTGGGGTGGACAGTCAAATGAGACTTTAAAAAAAAAACTATGTAGAAAGATATTGATCATCCCCGTCACTTAAGGAAAAGGCATGCCTTTGCAACTTTTTGATTCAGGGGTGGGCTTCAAAAATTTTAGCAAGGGGTTCTCTGCCCGGTTGCTGGGTGGGCGTAGCCTAGTCGACCTCCTGCACCATGGCAGGGTGGGGCGTTTTTTTACCTCCCCGGGCTCCGGAGGCTTTCTTCAAGCTTCCATGAGGGTGAAAACGGCCTCCCCAGGCTCCAGAGGCCCTCTGGAGGCAGTAAACAGGCCCGTTTCCAGCCTTCCCAAACTTCTGGTAGGCCTGTTTTTCACCCTCCCCGAGCCTCCACCTGCGGCCTGCACTTACCTGCATCCAAAACGGGCCGTGTGGGGACTCCTGGGAGGGGCGGGGTGGGCGGGGCCAGCCAGAGTGGGATTTGGGGGTTCTCTGAACTGCACAGAATCTTAGCTAGAGGTTCTCCCGAACCCCTGCGAACCCCCAGCAGCCCCACCCCTGCTTTGATTGCATCTGATGAAGTGAGCTGACGGTCATGAAAGCTTACGCGCCTTTTCATAAGAGAGGTTAGTCAGAAAAGATGCTATCAGACTCTTTTATTTTTGCCCGCCCCCCAGAAGACTCCCTCCTAAAACTACAGCAGTTCAGAAGTAAAAGCGTGAAAGCGGCCCTCGCTGTAGCCTGTCATAAAAATACCTCATGGCTAAAGGAAAAGGTCAGAGACGGGATAGTCTCTGAGCACAGCATCAGCCACCGTTTCTGCTGCTTTCTGCAGCGGCAATGGCTCTGCTGCGGTGCTCAGCCTGTGGAGTCATGACTGTTTCCTTGGCAATGGTTTAGCAGACACTGTCATAGAGGACTTGATTGGCAAGAGTAGACCGTGTCTCGTGAGTCACGGGATAAACACTGCTCCACAAATCACGATAGCATCCAGATGACCACCAAGAAATGTTCACAGGCCGGGCTGAGTAAACAAGGATTCCGTAGAGTTCTGTCGTCGTGATATTTGCTTTTTGTGCAGCCTGTCTTTGATCTGCAGCTGAACAGATTTAGCAGAATGTATGATTTCAAGCAACCTGCAAGAAGCGAAGAGACCCCATGTGGTGTAGTTGTGAAGGCATCAGGCTAGAAACCGGGAGACTCTGAGTTCTAGTCCTGCCTTAGGCATGAAGCCAGCTGAGTCACCTTGGGCCAGTCAGTTTCTCTCAGCCCTATGAAGGAGGAGGCAATGGCAAAATACTTCTGAAAAACCTTGCCGAGAAAAGTTCAGGGACTTATTCAGGCCGATATCTTCAAAACTTGGCAAGGAGTCTCTGAGAGTCACGAACCAATTAAGCGAACTAATTGTCTCCTGCAAACTCCCCTCCCCTTTCGCTCCTCTTTTATTCCCTATGGGACGGGCCAATCACCATCCACCTGTAGTTTTACTCCTGAGTCGACCCTTGTTCCTTAGCTGTTCCCTTCTCCTGGCAGCTCTGCACAGGCACACACGGGGAACAGGCTTCTTCTGCTCCACTGATGTCTGACTCCGAAGGCAGCTGACAACTGTCAGACGGCCCTGACCCCCTCTCTGCCTCCGACGCAGAGCCCTCATCAGAGCCTTCCCCAGACTCCAGGACTGGCCCATGTTCCTCCCCAACGTCCTCACTGTCTTGAGTCTGCCACCAGCTCCGCTGGCAGGCCACAACAACAAGAGAGAAAAAATTATCCCAAACAATTCATAAGAAGCCGAGAATAAATTTTAGTGAATGATCCTTAGTCGGAGGAGGAAGCAGCAACAACAGTAAACAAGAGTGCAGAATTTGGATCTCTCCAGATGTTACTTCTCTGCCACTCCTGCTCTCCTTAACTTCGTATGAAACTAAACGGCCATCATAAATCAATATGTCAGATTTTGCTTTCCTTTGGATGACAAGAAACCAGCTGGATTGCATGCCAGAAGTTGGAATTAAACAGAGTTAGCTAGAGGAAAATCTATATATGCAACCAAGCAGGGGTGAAATGCTCCCGGTTCAGACCGGATCACCCAATCCGGTAGCAATGATGGTGGGTGGTTTGGAGAACCGGTAGCAAAAATCCCTGCCCCCCTGCCCCCATGCCCAGCAGAGCCGCACAGTCATCAGAGGCTTTTTTTAATTATTTTTAAAAGCATTTTTTCTACAACCTCTTCGGCTGAAAAAATGCTTTAAAAAGTAAAAAAAAAAAAAAAAGCCTCTGATGATCGTGCGGCTCAGGCGGGATCGTCAGAGGCTTTTAAAAGAAAAAAAAAGCCTCTGCCGATCAAGCAACTCCGCTGGATCATCAGAGGCTTTTAAAAGCATTTTTTTTACAACCTCTTCGGCTGAAGAGGTTGTAGAAAAAATACTTTTAAAAGTAAAAAAAAAAAAAAAAAGCTGGCCATGCTCACCCAGTCACATTACCCACCACTACCAAGTCACACCCACAGAACCAGTAGTAACAAATTTTACATTTCGCCACTGCAACCAAGCCATAGTTAGACAATCATTCTTGATTGAAAGGGGGGGGCGGTCGCTTCCCTTTTTCTGTCTTCTAAAAAATGTATAAAGAAGAAAGGTTTCTGAATATGTACAGATGGTGTTCTCTTCACTGGTGAATAACCGCAGGAGAAGGGCAGGGGAGATCAAGGCAATCATCAGTGTCTTCCTAGCCAAGTGGTGACATGAACGGAATGCTATGTGATGGACCAGTGCTGTGTTGCAATGAGTTGGCAAGTGCTTTTTATGTCTCTTCACCACAGGAGGGCAGATCTTCCTAAACTTTTAACCGTAAGAGAGCTGCAGTTGTTTACAGGAAAAGAAACACATGATTCCTTTCTATTTAGGAAACGCATTTCTCTCCGCTAAGTTGATGAGAGCACAATTTGACAATTAGAGCATTTGTGCTGCCTTTGGAGCACTCCTGACTAATAGCTAAGATGTCAGCCGTTCAGTAGCGTTGCCTGGTGGCAGCAGAGAAATGAACACAGAGAAGAGCACGGCCGAATGATGCCACGGGAGCTAATCAGTGGCGGGATTGAAGTAATTGTAACAACCGGTTCTCTGCCCTAATGATTTCTTCCAACAACCAGTGTGCCAAACTGCTCAGAAAGTTAACAACCGGTTCTCCCGAAGTGGTGTGAACTGGCTGAATCCCACCCAGTGGAGCTAATGTACCAAATGGTGCAGTAACCCAAGATGTAGGATCAGTTTGCGTCCCCAAGACACGATGTGCGAAATTCGGGGATAAACGAACGCCCTACCGAACATGTCTTCGCAGTTCAACTCTCAGCTTCAAGAAATCAGGAATGAAGGCTGTTCAAATGAGTGCAAGTTTATTTCATGCTAGCTCTCTACAAGAATCTGAACTACCCAAGGTCAAGGCAAATTGACAGTAGATAGGAGTCGATGAATTCAAAGTGGCCCAGAGTTACATCTCTTGTGGGCGTGAAGGGACTTCAAACTGATGACGTGCTTGACCCCTCCCTCAGCTTGGTCATGTCCTACATCATGGGTGTCAAACTCAATTTCATTGAGGGCCGCCTCAGGGAGCCGGGCTAGACCAGGCCAAAGCCACACTGGCCTGATATTTCCTCTTCGCATTGGGTAGACTGGGCCGAAGTGATGCGGGCCAGCCCCTTACATTTTCCGGGACGGCCACACAAGCCGGATCCGACTACATCATTGGCCAGATCCAGCCGGTGGGCCTTGTGTTTGACACACCTGTCCTACATCAACAGCATTTACAGTAGTTGTCAGTTTTCGAGGTCGTCTTAAATAAATTGCATTTCAAACAAAGTCTTTGATGAAAAACTCCCATTTATTAAACACGACATTCTAACTTCGACTCCATCGCAGCCAACACTGACTTCCTGACCCCAAAACCTCCCTTTCCTTTCCCCACTCCTCTGCACTCATTGGCCATCTTCCAAGTCACTCTACCCCTAATCTTCTGCTCCAGCTCAAAGGAATTTCCCCCCTCCCATCCCATCTCCTAGGGGATATTATCTCCAGGGAAAATAAGTAGGTGAAAAGTCAAACGTCCCTTTCCAGACGCCTCCTCTTCTCTTTCTTATGTCAGCACTACAGTAAATGCAGCTTGAAGTGCTGACAGTAGTAAGGGCTAAACGAGCCATTCGCCATCCTGTGTTAACGGGCTGACATGAGTAACTCGGTGTCAGGGCCATATTAAATTGTGTTATACCAGCAGCTAGCAATTATGTAAATGATTTATTTTTTAAAAAAAAAAACTTGTAAGCAGGGAGCCCCAGGGCTTTGAAATGCTGATGTATAGAACTTGGCTCTCTTTGTAAGACCTGGCACAGTTTGGAGAGCTACGATGGTTATATAGATAAGCTTTACCCTCAATGAAGTTTGTAGCCACTTAGAAAACTGGGATCACAGGTAATGTTGGCTAATCTCAAAGTTATGGCTGGTTGGTGTCTGAATCTCAAGTCTGCAATTGTGGAAGAAAAACAGTGACAAATCACTTTAATGTCATTTCCCCGAAGCCTACAAGAATATGTTCCTGTAACCATCAAGAATCAAGCTCAGGTTGTCTTTTCCTTTTTTTAAAAAAAGTAATTTTTATTAAACAGTTTGTCTTTAAAAACAACACAAAAAACAATCACGCATAGATAAAAACAAAACATGTCAAGACATAACGTATTGAACATTACATAACATTAATGGTAATTTTACAGCATTTTGTACCAACTTATGTACTTTGCTTTTGTAGTTCTCTATCATTTCTGTTTACTACTCAATAATAGAATAATCGCATTATTCCAATATATATATATATATGTATGTATGTATGTATGTATGTATGTAGGTGTCAACTTGCAAAGCTTTCAAGTTGCCATGAGCAGGAGGGAGAGACAACTGATAGAGCTGATTGATTTCCCTAACTGAAGTGCATTCCATACATTCTTCCTGACCGCAATCAGAAGGAGGGTGTTGGATTTCACAGCCAACCAAAGTGGTTAATTGGAGAATGTGATTTATGACATATGAAGTTCGGCTCATGGCTCATGAATTAATTAGGGCATCTTTCAGAAACGTCACAGTAGGTCTTTGGTTATTCGGATTTTCTCCCGTGTAAAAGTAGAAGTGTCTTGCTTTTCTATCCCACTAGTGTTCTAAATATGGATAGGTATCCTTTGGTCTTCTCCATTTTGAGTATAATATCCACAGTGATATTATAAATCTCCCAGAATTCCCCATGTTAGATGGGGATGTGTGTCACAGAATATATCCGGAATGTGCAAAGCAGGGAAAAGCTGGATAACTCTGATTTCTGAATGGAGAAAAAAAAATCAGTGGCAGATGTTATATTTTTCCTCCAAAGGCCACCAAGCGGTTCATCTTTCAAAGGTCTAACCACGGATTAAGTGATGAGGTGATGTTCACACACCATGGGTTTGATGTGGTATCTGAACTGAGCCACCGTTGGCCTATCCAACAAAAGGGGATCTGCGTGCCATTTTCCTCTAGTTAATGAATAACACATATCTGTAAAGAATACGGATTATCATTTGATCTGTCATTTGATCCTATCCTTTCTTTCAACTGCAGGGCATTTCTGGGGCCTAAAGACCTCTTCCCTTACAAAGAATATAAAGACAAGTTTGGAAAATCAAACAAACGAAAAGGGTTTAATGAAGGCCTGTGGGAAATCGAAAACAACCCGGGTGTCAAGTTTAGTGGATACCAGGTAAAAAAAACGAAGGACTTCCTTTTCTATCTTTTACCGCCCAATTCCCCACTCCTTCCTTTTGCCAATATGTGATAGTGAGGACTGAAGGCAAAATTTGTGTAGCCAAAACGTTTGGTTTTTGAGCCCTTCTCTTGTGAGGTTTTGCCTAAGCAAAGTCACAAAAATGACTACTGTGTTTTTTGGAGTATAAGATGCACCTTTCCTTTCCCCCCCCCCCCACTAAAAGGGGGTGAAAATTTGGGTGCGTTTTATACACCGAATGTAGCCCCGCCCACTCTTTGGCCTCTGCTTCCCAGCAATTTACCTCCTGGCAGCAAGCAGCAAGAAGAAACAGCCCATTTCAGCTTCACCACAGCCTAATTAGCACAAGTTGATTGCCCATTGGATCGGCCTCCCGACTCTCAGCTGTTTCAGGCTGCAGGGATTGCCATTGCCTATTGCTGAGTGGGCCTCTGCTGCTTGCTGCAAGGAGGTAAATTGCTGGGAGCAGATTTTTTTCCCCTTGTGCTAATCAAGCTATGCTGAAAACGAAAATGAAAGTAAAGCAGGCTGTTTGCTGCAAAGAGGGAAAATTGCTGGGAGGCAGAGGCAGATTTCTTTTTCTTGTTTTCCTCACCAAAAAAGGTAGGTGCATCTTATAGTCCGGAGTGTCTCGTACTCTGAAAAATACGGCAAGTAGGATTTTATACAACTGGAGAAATGATCTTACCAGGCATGATGCTGTCTACCACCCAGTGTGTAAGGAGCCTTACTGAGTTGAGATCAAAGCTTGCACCTTCTTCAGGTTGTATCATTGGTATACAGGTAGTCCTCAATTTACAACCATTTATTTAATGACCGTTTGAAATTACTCCGGCGGTGAAGAAAAAGTGATTTATGACTTTTTCACACTTAAAATTATTGCAACCTCCCCGTGGTCATGTGATCAAAATCCAGACGCTTGGCAACTGGCTTGACTTTGGGACGGTTGCAGTGTCCCAGGGTCATGTGATCAACTGTCAGAGTTCCAAGTAACATACTTGTAGCAAACAAAACTTCAAGGCAGGTAAATTCCTCAAAGAATAAGTTTATTGGATATGTCATATTAGCACAAACTGGTGAAAAACCGTCTCTGAGTATTCCCACAGTTTTCACCTAATTAAAAATAAAAGTTTTTCACTTTCTCAAAACAATCAGTCACATGGTCCAATCAGGATACTGTCCAGTTGCTAGGTGACACCAGTCCCCTCCTCCTGAGCACCTGCAGGAATGTCCTTGGTTCTCAAGAGAAAGTATCTTGTTTTGACTACAAACCCCAACTATCTCTATTCCCCCCCCCCATCCCTCTGCTCCAGCGTGTTTAGCCCTGAAGTCTCAAAATGGTCTCAGTCAGGCCAGCTTCAGGGCTGACATCAACTTTTGCACAAACTGTTACCAAACAAACCTAGTCGAGGTCTAATTATTGGTTTTATTCCCAAGGCTATTCAGCAACAGAGCTCCTCAGAAACCGAAGGCGAAGGAGGGAACACGGCAGATGCTAGCAGCGAGGAAGAAGGGGATCGGGTAGAAGAAGATGGAAAAGGCAAAAGGAAGAATGAAAAAGCGGGCTCAAAACGGAAAAAATCTTACACTTCAAAGGTAATTCATGAAGCTCTCACTTACGACCTGGAGCTGTTTTGATTTATAGCAGGAGTTTCCAACTTGGCAACTTTACGACTTACGGAGTTCAATTCCCAGAATTCCTCAGCCAGCCATGCTGGGAGTTGAAGTCCCCAAGTTTTAAAAGTTGCCAAATGTTTCCCAGCTGCCTTTAAGTCAAGGATGAGTTTTTAAAATCACCTTTCCGGAATTGTTCTTCAAGTTGTTGGTGTGTAATTTTTGTCTGCGACGATATAAAAAATAAAGAAAACACGATCAAAATTAAGGTTGGCTACTTCACAATCCTAATTCATCCTAATCCTCACCTCCCTCCCACTGTAACATACACAATTATTCACAGATTCTTAACTTTAGGAAAGAGTAAGGCCAATGATCTATAAATATGCCATGGTTTTAAAAAGGGCCACCCAGATCTGTAAATCTAAGCGGAGGGAAGGCATTTGCGAGGTGGCACAGTGGTTAGGATGCAGTACTGCAGGCTACTTCTGCTGACTGCCAGCTGCCTGCCTGCAGTTTGGCACTTCAAATCTCACCAGGCTCAAGGTTGACAGCTTTCCATCCTTCCGAGGTGGGTAAAAATGTCAGATTGTTGGGGGCAATAGGCTGAGTCTGTAAACTGCTTAAAGAGGGCTGAAAAGCAGTGTGAAGTGGTATATAAGTCTAAGTGCTATTAGGAAGGAAAGGAGAAGGAAGGAAGGAAGGAAGGAAGGAAGGAAGGAAGGAAGGAAGGAAGGAAGGAAGGAAGGAAGGAAGGAAGGAAGCTGTTTGGGAAGGGAAAGGATGGAATGATTAAGAATAAAACTTCTTTCCTACCCCAGGAAACAAGCCAATGCATTTGTAATTAAACCCAAGAATAGTCGTCTTGATACCCTTAACCAGAACTTAACCATTTATTAATACTAAGCTATATAGCTTGGGAAAATAGCTTTGGTTTTACTTTTTGTTTTGTTTTGTTTTTTTTCTTGATGGACGTCCCCTAGAAATCTTCCAAGCAATCAAGGAAATCTCCCGAAGACGAAGATGATAAGGATTGCAAAGAGGAAGAAAATAAGAGTAGCTCTGATGCCGGTGAAGCAGGCAACGACACACGAAACACTTCTTCAGACTTGCAGAAAACTAGTGAAGGGGTAAGGCCTTAGGATTCCTTCTGAAGCTGTGTGATTTTAAATAGAGACATGGAGGGCAGGGGGCCGGGTCCATCTGTCTTTTTCAACCCAGTACAATTGACAGCAAGCTGTAACCCCCAAATTTCACAGCCAGCCAGTTTAAGAAGTTTACTTTACTTTTTTTTCTGTTTAAAATCCAATTCAAATTTTAAAGTATTTAGTCTTTTTACCATATCTCCATGATTAGTTCCCTTAGTTCTGTTCCAAAATTGGTTGTTTCTCGGGTCTTTGTCTCTTTAAGGTTACAGTTTAAAAAATTTTCCAAAGCCCCTTTGTTGCACAGCCGCTGTTTTAGGCTAGGGGTCTTCTAAATATTAATATTGCTCCAAACGTTGTTGCAAGCCTGGGTTGTTGTCACTCACCCGGCTTCAGAGAGCTCCGTTTTACTCTGCTTTCCTCCAGCACTTTTCTTAGTCCGGTTGTCCCAGCTTCATGGCAGCCGCCATGGCTGCCGCCCCCCGCCGCCGACTCGCAGAGGGTTCCCTCTGACCTCCAAGGAACTTGCCTGTTCCTCTTGGTCATCCGAGGCACCCCTCCTTTTTCCCCATCCCTGCAGGACGGTTCTGGTCCGAAGACCCATCGGCGGCGGTTCGGCAACCAGGGTTTTCGCGGGGCTTATCAGAGCCCGCTATTTCCCCGACTGTCTCGCCGCAACGCCAAACCAGAAGTCCAAGAAGTTTACTTTATTGTCATTGCACCTCGTACAACAAAATTAAATGCCATCTTCAGTGTGCATTATACATAAAAAATAAAACACAAACACACATCCTTCACATTCTATACCAGTGATAGTGGACCTTTTTGGGTGGAAACGTCACGCGCATTTGTGCACACTTGTCGGGGCTGTGCTCCGCATAAGCCAAACTTCCGGGTTCTACCGCACATGCACGCCTGATGATCAGCTGGCTGGCGTGCATGCTCACACCGGGTTTCAGCACTGCCACACATGTGCGAAGGACAGCTGATCGTCACACATGCATGCACGCCAGAAACCCGGAAGACAAACAGGCAAGGCCGTGCGTGCCGGACGACTTGGCTTCACGTGCCATTTTGGGCATGCATGCCATAGGTTTGTCATCACGGTTCTATACAATTGAATTGGAAACCCCTGGTATTGCATTAATATTGCAATATAAAAAATGCAAATAATTTTTCTGCGGGCCACCAACATTTTCTCGTGGACCACCAGATGGTGACTGCTGTTTCAGAAGCCATTTCCCAGGCTGAAGAACGTTTTCAGCCTCTCAAGCATGATCTCTGGGTGAACTGGTCAAGAGGTCCTTTATTTTAACCCATTAAGAGGAATGTCCAGGGGTCCAGAGTAGTTTCTGAATGTGCCATTCCACACAATTGCTTTGGCTCTTCTTGAAACTCTGTACATAGACAGTTGAGAGTCCTCTCTCAGTAGCTTCTCCCTACTTCTTAAAAATTGAATTCTAGATATTTCCCTGATACGCTTGGTGTTTTTCTTAGTTGCTCACTTTAATTAATCTACTTAAACCTGGCTACCAGTTCTTGTTGTTGTTGTTTTTTACAACTCATGACTTGTATTAACTATGGCTTTTTATATTTGAATGGGCTTAGACTGGATTGTTTTGTATTCTCCCCATCTCTGCTAGGTGCCGTCAGAAGGAAAGGGGAAAAACAAGCCTGGATTTCAGTCAGACAAGCCATAGTTCGTTTGCTGTCCACAATATGGCTTCTGGCTTGTTCCTAAATGTCTGTCGAGATTCTCAAGTTATCCAGACCATGGTTCTCCCAAAGGGTTTTTTTCAAGAAGCAACTGGACTTTCTTTGTTTGGAAGACATTTCATTTCTCGTCCAAGACGCTTCTTCAGTTCTAACGTTAAAAATTGAACGGCCCTCTCTCAACAGAGGGGGAGGGATATGACACCACCCGTCTCCTGTTTACAATGCAATCTTTTCAACAGTTCCAAGGAAGTTCCACATCCATTTGCACTATTCAGATGACCCTGAGGGGGAAGGATAAACCTCTGAGTGGCCTCAGAGGATTCTCAGAGAGAGTACTAACGACCAGATGACTGCAAGGCATACAAACTCTTCCATTCCCCGTCATTCAGTCAGAACTGAAGAAAGCTTCTTGGATGAGAAGCGAAACCTCCTTCAAGGAAGAACAAAGAAAGTCCAGTTATCTCTTGGGAGGGGAAAAAAAAAACACCTTTGGGACGACTTGTTCCACAACTCGTTCAACAAAGTTCAGTTTTCTTTTGTATGAAATGCCTTCCAGTGTTGACGGACTCGTTTCAATCTGAAAAGGTGATCCCTCTTTTGTCTTCTTCTCTCTCCCTAGACTTAACCAACATATTGACTGCTGCATATTAAGGGAAGACACAAGAAAGTGACATGTTTGGTTGTTTAATATTCTTGGATTTGATTGAAGTCAGCACATCTCTCCATCAGCAGCATATATGTTTGTATGCACATTTAGCCACATTCCTACCCATTCTGTTCTCAGCAGCAACTTTCAACATCATCCCCCCCCCCCCCCCCCATCGACCCCCCCCCCCCCAACCAGGTCCTTTTCTAAATGTCCTTTGATTTAACTGCACAAAAAGGCTCTTTTTCAAGCAAGACCCACAACCGACAACGGCCATTTTTAGATAACTTCTTTTTTTTTTCTTGTTTCTTTTTTTTTTTTACAGAAAAAGAAGGGCAGCATGTCTAAATTTTAAACCGAATCTTTTAAAAACTGCCTTTTAGAGAGTACAAATTAAACGCTTAGAAATAAATGCCCTCTTCCTAACCAGTCACAAGGATCTCTATTCTGCTTAACAAATCATGACGTTTTAAAAATTAACCCTTTATCCATTCGTTGTTCTGCATTTTTCTTTTCTTTTTTTTTAAAAAAAGGGGGGGTTTAAAAACAAACATGGCCAACTAGTAACTTAGGAACGCTGGTTTGTCTTGAGTAATTTTTCTCCTCGCTGACATCCGGCTGTGTTTTTTAGCAGATTTGCTCGCATTTTCATTTTTTAGGGAAAAGGGGAGGGGGAAAAAACCCCATGTATTTTCAGCTTGTAAGAAAAAAAAGATCCGCCATCTCTCCTTGGATTTTGTATGCATTATGTAAATGTACATATTTTGTATGTAAAGCAATGTGAAACTCCAAATTTTGAACCCCCGAATCAAGATTCCATCACATTTCTAGATCATTGAATTCACCGTAGGGAAAAACCATTCCTAGCGGTCCTACTTTTTAAACTTCTGTCTGGAAATTCAATCGTTTCCCACCCCACCAGGAGTACAGAAGTTGGCCATCTCTGTTTTTAAAACCTCACAAAATGTACTTGATTTATTATCATTATAAAGAAAGAAAAGTCAATAATTGTAAGAAAGTACCTTTCCTTATTAGAACGCTCTAGCTTAGCTATACTCTTAATCCTTTTCAAGATCATGACGTAACGTAAATTTCTCTAACTTAGTTCCTATATGTGGAGTTAGTAAAAAGTCTTTTGTGTTTCTCTAGATGAATAACAAGGAACTTTTTTTCAGGTCCCAATACAAATCGGAGCTTATTGTGTTTTGGGGACGCCTTCCATTTTTAAGCTTAATTGTGATACTGAAAGGCCAATGGGAAACAAAGCCAAAACATCCGATTAAAATATAAGAATAACAGATATACTGAAAAGCTTAAAAAACACACACAAAAAAAGGGGGAAAATAAACCCTGTCATTTTTCTGTTTTGTTCCTGTTTTGTTTTGTTTTCTACTCTCAAAACTAGATCTAGACTAGTAGATAAGCATTCCAGATTCCATTATTCTGTGTACATTATTGTTGCTATTGTGAGAATAGAGAATTTTATTTATTTTTTAAGGCCAGCTTTTATTGTGAAGACCATATGGGTTTAGTCCGGTTTTATCAACCCTTGTTATGCTCGTCCTTGAACCATCTTTCTGCGTACTCGAGGTTTGTAGTTGAAAAGTTTACTGTACAAAAAAAAAAAAAGGAAAAAAAATCAAAAAACAAAAAAACTATTGTTTTTACAGAATAAATTTATTGGAATGTGTATCTGGGAGTAAGGGTTTGAGGTTGTAAGCAGCTGAGTTAGCGTCATATTTGGCTTCATAATGTGTAATGTGAGGTATTCATGTAACTCGAGTATTAAAGCAACGCATTCTGTTAACACTTGAGTTGGTTATAATAGAACGCCAATGCAGGGGGAAGCTCCCTTGTGTCTCTCCCACGACTTTGATCTCTGGCGGTTGTACTGAATCTGACATTTCAAGGACCAGACCAATCTCATGGCTGCCTGCAAATGGCCCACAAACTGTGATGGCGCAGTGGTTAAAATACGGTACTGCAGGCTGATGTTGCCAGGAGTTCGATTCCCTCAATTCTGACAGGGCTCAAGGTTGACTCAGCCTTCCATCCTTCCGAGATCGGTAAAATGAGGGCACAGATTGTTGGGAGACAATACGCTGACTCTGTAAACTGCTTCGAGAGGATTGTAAAGCGGTATATAAGTGCTATGGCTGGGCTAAACTTTCACATCACATGAGCATCGATAGGGCTCCTTAACCACTGACCCACTAGGTGGCACCCAGCCAATTTTGGCTAAGCAGGGTCAGGCACGGTTAATATTTAGATGAGAGACTTCTAGGAAATAAGAAGAGTGGGAAGTTAAAAACAAATTCCTGGGGGAAAAAATCAATAGCAAATCACGACTTATTTGGGCCTCAAAACTAAATAGTCTTTACTACTAGTAAATGATTACAGCCAAGATTGCCTCAACTTACAACCACAATGGGGGCTAGAATTTCCATTGATAAAGCAGGGGGGTTGTTAAGGAAGCCGTGCCCAATTTTATGATTTTTGGGGCCACGGTTGTTAAGCAAATAACCACAAGTGTTTGCCAAAGCAAATGCAGCTTCCCTCATTGATTTTGTTTACCGGAAGCACTGAGAAGGTGCAGAGCTGAAGAAGACAAATCCTTAAGGACATCATTGCTGCTCCATTTGTTAGAGTGTGCTAGATTGTAACTCAGTAGTAGGCTTACTTGTGACTCGGTATTGTACAAGCCAAGATTATTGGATTCCATCAATAAACATAGGTTAAGAAACCACAGTTAACATTCTGTGCAGACGTAGTTTCCTGGTACTTCTCAATAATAACAAAACAGCATATTCGCCATCAGCAAGATGTGGCAAAATTTCTAAGATGGCTGTATTGGTCTTTGATCATCATTTCCCAGCCAAGATTGAAAGTTCCTACTTTTCTCATGTTTTGTCTTTAATTCGTCCCCTCAGAAATTTTAAAAAGAAAAATCCAGTGGGTCGGTCAAGACTGACCCCACCTGAGGAGAAATATCCAGTCCACCACTCATTCCTGAAACCGTTTAATTCACCCATGTGGTTGAAAATGAAATTGGTACGGAGGGAGAATAATTAGACAATGGATGAGGGAGTTTATTAACAAGAGTTTGGACAACATGAGAAGCATTAGTTGCCTGGGGGAGTGAAAGATCTGCCTTCTTGAATGGTTTAAACCTTAACCCCATCGCTAACCCACAAACACTCTTGGGATGAGTCCAAGTGGTGAAATCCAATTTTTTTTACTACCGGTTCTGTGGGCATGGTGTGGTGTGGCTTGGTGGGTGTGGTTTGGTGGGCATGGCAGGGGAAGGATACTGCAAAATCTCCATTCCTTCCCCACTCCTGGGGGAAGGATATTGCAAAATCTCCAATCCCATCCCACTCTGGGGCCAGCTAGAGGTGGTATTTTCCAGTTCTTCAAACTACTCAAAATTTCCGCTGCCGGATCTCCGAACTGCTCCAAATTTCCACTACCGGTTCTCCAGAACCTGCTGGATTTCACCTCTGGTGAGTCCCCAACAAAACCAATTCTATTTGGAGAAAGAGATTCCCACGATCTGACGGAATCTGGAGAAGCAAGCTCTTAAGAAATACTATGAAAGACAGAAGTCTTTTATTTTCAGTAATTTTGTTCCAACTGGGGAACCCCTTCTTTGCAACACCCCACAGTTTTGAAGCCTTCTTCTTCTTCAGTCCACCTTCTCTTCTAGCTGGGCTTTCATGAAAAACTCAGGGTTGCGGACACAGCGAAACATAAACAGCTGTGGAAGGACTCCGTGGATCACATTGAGAACAAGAAACCATATCTTCCCTTCATCGGGGACTCTGTAGATGTAGGGCGTTCTGGCATGTATGGAAGCACCAACGTGTGAGAACTGAGCCTGGAAAGCAGAAGGAATGGATTTCAAGTTGTCATTTGTGTAGGAATCAGTGTTAACAGTCCCCATAATCACTGGATGCATTGAGACATTTCCTTCAACCAGAGAACCATTAACTATCACTCTTGAAAGTTCCAGAGCCCCTGTGCTATGGATTTTAATGGATTTTTTTTACATGCGATTCCACCACTCACTTCTTTGTTCTGGACTCATGCATTTGGGGGGAACTGGGGTCTATGTCAATCCTCCAACAAACCCTCCCAAATTCAAATGCATCCCCTTATCTCAAAATCATTATGTTTGCCATCTTCAGGATACAACCCCTGTCGTTGGTTTGTAGCTTTGCATCTTGGGCAAACCCAGCTCATAAAACATTTATTTATCTTATGGCACAATCCACACCACATTTCGATAAAAATACAAGGGATAAAAATATGAAATATAAAATTAAACGTTTAGATTACAGATATAATTTTTTGCTTCATTAGTCACCACGGGGAAATCAGCAAAATCTTCATTCGAAAAACAATGAGTTGATTTCGTGGAAAGATTGAAGCTAACTAGCAATGGCTTAGTCCAACTGTGACAACTTTAAGACTTGTGGACTTCAACTCCCAGAATTCTTCAGCCAGCGAAGCTGTTGGGAATTGAAGTCCACAACTGAAGTCTTAAAGTTGCCAAGGTTGGAGACCCCTGGCTTAGTCAACCAGCTAACCCGATTAAGCAAACCGTTTAATTTTGAACCAAAGCTGATTGGGCTTACCCACTACATTAAATCAGAGGGAAGCCACCCATTATTATGGCTAATTCAATATGCATCCCCTTTCCATTAACTTGCTTGTTATTTTAAGCATGGCATCAATTAAAGTTGGCACATAATAGAGCATCCTGTTATTCTGCTTTAAGAAACCAGAATGTTCTGGAGAGGATCCATGTCTCTCTCAGCTCTTGGCATAGAATCGGGACATCCACTAGAGTTTTCCTGCTTTGAACTTTGACACAATGGTATATCGCCTTTCCAAAGCACTTGGAACCTGATCTGCTGCTCGATAAAAAGTTAAGGTGAAAAAAAAAATAAGAGCAATTTGCTCTTTCCTTTGCTAAGAGCAAGGCTTTTCGTTTACTTTCAATTCGTCTTTGTAGAGAAGGTGTTGCTGATTGGGATTTCTGGAACATGCCGTAAACTTAACATCTAAGATTATGTGCGAGAACAGAAGTCGTGCCAAGCCAAAGAATATTTTTAGCATAAACAAACACGTAAAGATAGAAGCAGCTAGGACAGTTTAGGATTGTGTTTTGTCCTTTGTCTTTCATCTGTTATCCTCTATTTCAAGCCGTGTGTTCATTTGTGTATTAGCAATGTTGATGATTGACCTGAATTCGTGATCCCTGACTCTGGCCTGCAGAGGAGGAAGGTCATGCTCTAGTTGACTTGAGCTTTTATGGGAATAGGGCTGATCCGTGGGGAACGGGGGGTTCGCTGGGGGTTTGCAGGGGTTCGGGAGAACCTCTAGCTAAGATTCTGTGCACTTCGGAGAACTCCCAAATCACACTCCTGGCTGGCCCCACCTACCCCACCCCTCCCCTCCCAGGAGTCCCCACGCGGCCCGTTTTGGATGCAGGTAAGTGCAGGGTGAGCGTGGAGGCTAGGGTAGAGTGAAAAACGGGCCTACCAAAGTTTGGGAAGGCCGGAAATGGGTCCATTTTCGGCCTCCAGAGGGCCTCTGGAGCCTGGGGAGGCTGTTTTCGTCATCCTGGAGGCGAGAAAAAAACCTCCGGAGCCTGGGGAGGGCAAAAACACCCCACACACACACACTGTGGTGCAGGAGGCCGACTAGGCCACGCCCACCATGGCCACACCCACCCAGCAACCGGGCAGAGAACCCCTTGTTAAAATTTTTGAAGCCCACCCCTAGTGGGGTGGTCCAAATATTAGTCTGCATCCTATGACAAGGACAGAGGAGGATGGCAGGATGAGGAAGTATCTCCAGTGGCAACAATAGTTCTGTCTATGTAATAATGGCCTCTGAGATCTCTTGTGTTTCAAGAAAGGAATATCTCTATGTTTAAGCTGAGTGGCCATGGAGATTTCCTGCTATTGGGAAAAGGTAGTACAGGATCTTCTTGGGGGTGGCTCCACAATTGTGGGAAGTCCTCTCCCAAGAAAATCTGTCAGCTATCCTGTTTCTCCAATTTAGACAAACACTGAAAACTAAAAAGGTTCATTCGTTCTTTTCAAAACTCTATTATTTATTTATTTATTTATTTATTTCTTACATGTATTTATATGCCGCCATTCTCCTGAAGGACTCAGGGCGGCGAACACAAGTTAAGAAATAAGTACAATAAAATCCCATTTTAAACCAAATAACTAATTCATAGTAAATAATAAAACCCGGAATCAGTCTCAGCCTATTTGCTCGAACAGTCAAGTCTTCAGGTCCCGACGGAAGGAACGGAGATCAGGAGCCGTCCGGAGCTCGGTAGGTAATTCATTCCAGAGGGTGGGAGCACCCACAGAGAACGCCCTACCCCTGGGCACAGCAAGACGACATTGGCTCGCCGTCGGAACCCTGAAGAGAGCGGCCCTATGTGAGCAAACAGGATGGTGAGAGGCAGGCAGGAGAAGGTCCTGCAAATATCCCGGACCTAAGTCATGTAGGGCCTTATAGGTGAGGACTAGCACCTTGAAGTGGACCTGGAGAACCACTGGTAACCAGTGCAGCTCACGCAGGAGGGGTGTTATATGGGAGTAACGAGGGGCTCCCGTAACAATCCGTGCGGCTGCATTCTGGATCAGCTGGAGTCTCCGGGTCCATCTCAGGATATATTAATCAAATAAAGAAGGTTCAACATTTTTTTTAAATGTTGATATTGTTGGGTTTGAAATGTGAGCTTCTTCCTCTGCCATTAACCACCTTGGGCATTTTATT